CTAAAGCACAAAGGAAAAGATTGACATAAACCTTTTGCTGGCGGCAGGTGTGTCTGCTAGAGTAATCTCTGAAGTCAGTGTAAATCCAGATGTCACGTTTTACATCTTTACATATTTACATAATTTTTAGAGCAAACATAAAAGCTATTTTTATGTTGCAAATAGAGTGATTTCTGTTTTAACATCTTCAGATTTAATTATGCGGCATATAATGACAAATAGATTGCAAAATTAGACTCAGCTTCCAGAAACAAATTTACCTTCCTTGGTATTATTGCTGACTTGACAGAAATATCAGCCCCACCTAGTATATTATACCATGGCCCATGAACACTTTCGATTTTACAAAGGATTTTTTTGTGGAAGCAGAAGTAGCCTGGGTAGTTCAGAGGTCAGGCTTTTGGCCTAAAAAAATTTGCACACGAGTCACAAAATATTTCTCCTGATCCTCTTGCCCCAGTAGCCTTCAGTGGCTCCTGGTGACTCACAGCCACAGGATGCATGTGACGGAAGTGATGGGACATCAAAAAAGACCTCATCAGTCTGCAAAAGATGAGACCTCCTCCACAAACTTGTTTGAGGCAAGGGACAGATGGCAGGACAGCAATGGAAGAGGGAACCTACCTCTCTGCTTTTTGAAGATGGTTTAATAATTAAAAAAAATTACGCAGAAATGCAGCCATGAGGAGATGTGAAAGAAAATCACACATCCAAATGTACAAGAGCCTAAAACAAAATGCAGCCACCGTACAAGCTAGCATGTAAAGGCGTAATGCTGCCGATTTCAAACAAGTTGCCAAAATCAGTTTGGCTCTACTCTTTAACAACTTTAATGAATAAAGTACTTTCTTTAATCCAAAATGAACTCTTAATTTTAGTAGTGATCCTTACAATTAGAGTTCCTAAAACATGTTACCACTCTGGTCTGGCCAACCCATGCCTTTCACATGGCTGCTAGAGAAAGGTAGGTTGAACTGCAGGTGAGGGAACCCCAGCATTCCTCTGCCCCTGGGAAAGCTTCCATCCCTTCATCCCAGTGGGCATCTCAGAGGAGATGTCAGGACCTGCCAGTCCCTGCAGCAGGTCACCACGCAGGCAGGCATGGGCACAGAGTTCCTGGCTTTCATGCAATAAACCTCAAACACCTGTTTAGTGTGCCTGGCAAACTCATGCGGAAAAAGCAAAAAGAAGTGTGTGAATTGGTGGGCTTTAGTGGAAATAGATGTGTGAAAAAGTGTAAAATCCATTTTCTAAGATAGACAGGCTTTATTCCAAAGACAGGAAAAAGGAAATAACCATTCCATTCCATGGACAGCAGTTCTCAACTTGCAAACTTTTATTTGCATTTCACAGGCTTCTGCTATTTGAAAACCTAATTTCTTTCAAGAATAATAATCTTGAGGCCAGTAAGTATGCTGTCAATTTATGGCAGCTCTGCCAATATAGTCACTTTAAAGACAATTTACTGTATGGAACAATATTTATTTCCTTCCATCTTGTTTCCTAAGCTTGGTTCTGTTTTTCTCCCTCTTAATTTATATCTCATAAGCCAGAGACAAAACCAAAATTGACAGTCTGTTTAGACAGAAGCAAGCTGAAGGCTGCTTCTTTCTGACCTTTATCAACATACAAGGAGTGTGAACTTACCACCACCATTTTCCCATCAACCAGTCTTCTTTTTATCGTGGTCTCTTTGCCATTCCACTTCTGCACCTGAACCAATGCCCCTTTCTCTAAGGTTACAATGCTCTGCAAAGGACAAGAGAAGAGTTTCAAACTGGAGTCTGAGCTTTGCAGATTAGAGTAGCAATTCACTTTATGTTCAGCAAGATCCGTGTTCTTGGCTAATGACATGCTTAGTAACATTAGTTTCCGCTCCACACTATTTCTTCTTTCAGTGCTTTCTTTGAATAGTTTGGGAAACTCATAATGCACTAAGGGGACAGGAAAAACTCCTCCTGGTGCTCTTCTAGGAGACATGCAAACCACTCAGAGTCCATCAGCCCTCTTACCTTGACTTTCCTGTCATCTGCTGTAGTTTCATCAAACTGCTGGCCCAGTTTGAAAGAGATCGTTGTATTTTTGAAGGTGCTTTCAGTTCTGATGGTTACTATGTCCCCTTTCATACTGATGATCACATCAGGCTTTGCCAGGCCACCTAGCTTTCGGGTAGCTAAGCCCACTCCTAGAAATCAGAAACAAAACAATCATTACATTCTAGCAAGCAAGAAACTCAGTATCCTTCCATAATTCTTCAGTGGAAGAATAAAGAACAGCTTCTTCTTGAATACTCCTATGCTTGATTCAGATGAGGTGCTAATTCTTTGAATGAAGTACTGCGTTCAGAGGCTGAGGCAGCCTCAGTTGATACAGAGCACCTCCAGCAAGAAATAAAGATATGCATGAGTATACACTTGTGTACATTTAGCTGAGAAAAAACATGGATGGTTAAAAATCTTAATGAATTTGTGTAGAGATAGAATGGGTAGAAAAATTCAGAGGAAAGATAAATTTCTAATAAAAGCTTGTAAAAATCCTTTTTTAAAAAGTCCTGACAAATCTTTGAATCTGCACTTTCGTTAACCAGCTGCATGAAAGAAACTGGATACTGAACTGCTAATGTGCTCGTGCTTGTTCATTAAAACATATACTGGAGGCTGGTCAATTTCTAGGTTGCTACTAACATCCCTTAAGGATCCTTACATCTAAATCTCAGTGAAAAGTACAAATATGAAATATTAAAAAAAAATGAAGTATAAGAGTGAAGAGCTGTAGAGAGGTCCAGGAAAAAAATTGCATACCAAAAGCCTTTTATATTGTCTGGTGTTTTTCAGTCCAGTTCATTGTCTACAAGTTGTGAGGTCTGGGACAAATTGCAATGAAGACCACTAATGATGTATTGCTGTTTTATAAAAGCAGAAAGGGGATAGATAGCTAGAGTTATTGCCTTTGTTAATGCTATGCTATGCTCAGATGAAAAGACCCATCTAAAAGGACATAAAGTTATCTGTAAAGTATAACACAATTTGCAGTAATTATTCTATACTGAAACAATTCTGTTCAGATCTTCAGAAAAACATATGTAGCTGGACTTTCAAACTATATTTACTCAGGTTAATTAATTAACTGCAGTTCTTTTGTTACTCAGTTTAACATTTGAATAAAGGGAATCAGTGTCTCAGTGAATCATTTGTATAGCAAAAGAAATGCTGTAGCTGACTGTGTGTGCACTTGCTATATAGGAATGAAGCCAGCATTAAAATGAAAAACAATGCCTAATTTATTACATTCCTGAGATTCTTCAGTAACAGATAGAGTCATTCATAAGATTTAGACCTCTGAAACCAAAGTGTCATGAGACATCAACTCCATTATATATTGTATATTATTGCAAATCACAAATTTAATGGTGCAGTAAAGACAAATGTAAAAAAAGCTGCATCTCCATAGATTCTTTATATTACAGAAAAACAAATTAGATAAGGTTAGTTCAGAAGTAAATTTTTTATAGTAATTCAGCACCTGCCTTTCTGTTTTTCCATTTTAGATGCTAAAGGAAAGGAAAGAAATTATGCTAGAAAAGAAATTAAAGTGCTTTTTTGGCCAGGAAGAAGGCACCATCCATGAGTAAAGCATAAGATGAAGAGGGAACACTCCTAAGGAAAGCTTGTTAAAAAAAAAAAAGAGAGAGAGAGAGAGCATTTCTCACCCAATTCTTTCATATAGTCATCAAAATTTTCACTGGAGACAAGTTTCCAGGTTCCCACAAATCTGTTACACATGGTATTGGCTTTGTGAGGCAGAGAGAGGCAGCGGCCACAGCAGCTTTTGGTGGTGTCAGAGAGATTGTGCACCCGACTCAGTCGTTGCTGGCATCTTTTTAAAGATGCCTGGTCCCTGTAGCAGCCTGGATGGGCCAATAGGAGAGGCAGTGCCAGGGTGAGACAATGTGCACCTTGTCCAAGGCGGCGGTGTCAGTACCAGGGCTCTGGGTGACGCCTGCCTCGGCTTCCTCCACTGAACAGATCAGGGCACTGAGAGAGGCATGTGGGGACAGGGATGTGAGATTACCACTGCAGCCGCAGAGCAGTCAGGAGAGACTGCGGTGGCATCTGCGACACATGGAACCACCAAGCACGAGTGCTGCATCCATGTAAGACCCAGTTCTGACTGTCCTCCCAATACCATTCTCCTGCTGTCACCATTGCCACTGCTGTCACCCCTGTGCTAGTCCGGTAAATCAAAGCTATGTGGACTTGGGGGAGGAACTGTCAAGAAGCTGCTCTACATAGTGTGGGGTTTTTTTCAGTTTCATGATCCATCCTGAAAAGTGTCTGTGTGTTTTATCATTCAGAGGCAGAACTGAATTATTCAGTCCTGTTTTCTGCCTTACCATCAGAGCAACCATCCCACTCTGTGGGTTCTTCCCTGCACATAGCCCAGGCAGCACCACAAAGAGAAGAAGCAGCTAAATTTCACTGCCTCCCTTCTTCCACAAAACAGTAGGTTCAGAAGATCACTGCATCACTGGAGACGAGCTCTTATGCTTGGCAGGTGGATGGCAAGAACAGAGGTTAAGTCACAGATATTGAGTCGCTAAAGGGTTTATCCTCGATTCAAAGTCAATTGGTGAGAAGCAAGCAGTTTTATTGGGTTGGGAGGAGGGCATATACTGCTCTTTTTTTGCCTTTCTGCACCTGGATCGTTGGTTGGTTATAGAGTTAAGGGCAGATTTGAGCCAGTACAGTCATATAAGGTCTTGCATTCAAATGTGTACTACCATTGCCAGATACCTTCACATTTCCCTGCTCCCATGAAGAGCAATAGCTTCTTCTGTGCCATGTGAAATGACACATTCAGGCCAAACAACTTCCACCTCCAGGTAAGATGACATAAAAATCTGCCATAGAAATCTTTTCTTTTAGCAGCATTAGTGCATGGATTAGAATGTGTCTGTGGGCCTCAGTTGTTGTGACCTAAACTTTCACACAATGGCAGGATGGTTGAGGTTGGAAGGGATCTCTGGAGGTCATCTGGTCCAACCCTCTGCTCAAGCAGGGCCACTTAGAGCCTGTTGCCCAGGACCATGTCCAGATGGCTTTTGAATACCTTCAAGGATGGACACTCCACAACCTCCTTGGATCCATGTCTCCCCTGTACTGGGGAGCCCAGAACTGGACACAGTACTCCAGATGTGGCCTCACTAGAGAGGAAGGATCATCTCCCTTGACCTGCAACACACTTCCTAATGCAGCCTAGTATACTGTTAGCCTTTTTGGCATAAGGAAACTTTGCTGTTCCATGTTCAACCTGGGTGTCCACCGGGCCCAAGGTCCTTTTCTGCAAAGTTGAGTTTGAAAGTTTGAAAAGTTTGAGTTTGAACATTGAAAATGTTTTTTGGGGGGTTTTTTTGTTTGTTTTTTTTTTTAAGAAGTACATTTAAAACTATTGCCTTGTGGTTAGTAAAAACCAGTCACAAAGAACAAATCCATAAACCAAATGTATATTTGACAGGCAGGAATTTAAAGCATTGTAATTCAAGACACCTCAAATTATCTGAAAATATTTTGTTTAAGACCACATTAACTGTAATTCTGTCCTTCCTCTTCCTAAACTATCTTCCTGGAGAAAGCTATTACTTGCTACATGAAAGGATTAGATGGCTTCTTTCTTCCTTGAATGAATAATAGTTGCCTGTTTATCTTTTTTGCACGATTAGATTTTCTGGGTTATGACCACATACATGGAGTTTTCAGACCTAGATTGTAAGGATGGGGGGACACTGGGATGGTAGGTTGTGGGACTAAATTTCTTGTGTTCAGAGTAGAAAGAGTGAGATGGAGCCAATGCTGGGCCAGGGAGGGTAAGGTTTGGATCTCATCTTAAAAGCTGTCATATGCAAGAAGGGAAACATGCTTAAGCAGGAAAACAGTACCACCTGCTTTAAGCAGGGAGAATATTGTAGGTTTTGGATTATACTGTGGTTGTGGGGAAATAACAGGGTCCTAAGTCACAAATTTTGTTTTTTTATGCAAAATGGTTTTATCTCATTTGTCACAACATCAACAAGAGTAAGTTGAACAGAACTTCCCATTATTTCTCAGGTTTAATAACAGTGTAATGTAAGGAGAGAAAGTCTAGAGTGGTTGAAAATGAGAACAAAGTAGAGAAGAACTCTTTCTCCCTCACAGTAGGAAGCAGATGCTGTATCTGTAATAAGTAAATAAATATCAGGCTTTGAAGGTGTTGTCCCCACAATGCTCTTCTGAAGCAGAGCTACATTATATCATGTTTTGTGTAAAGAATAGCTAGCTCTTTTAACCAATCTCTGGAAGTGAGAAAGCTCCTCCTAAATGAAACTATCCATGATTTCTCAAGGAATAATACAAAAATATACTACTGTTGCTCCTCAGGCTATCTTTGTTCTTTCATTTAATTGTCTTATCCACATAAAGACATTTTAACAAGACAAGGCTGGTGCCTTTGGTAAATGAAAAATGATCGGCTTGTAAAATCAGGCCCAAAGAAATTCAAGAAGAGCAAATTAGTCAGAATAGAACAGCTATACTGCAGTACCAGTAACCTTAAGAACAAAAGTGACAGAGAATTATTTATACAGACAAAACCCCAGTCTTAAGCAGTCTCAAACAATGTTGACATTGCTACCATCTATCTCTTTGTCACTAAGAAAAATCAGCACTTTCACTTAAAGGACTTATAGTCTAGAAAGAAGAAGAGTAGGGAATTATATCTTCAGTAGAAATAATATCTGTGGACACCAATCTTTTCTTCAAGTTTAAAGGGAAAAAAACCTGGCAAGGATTGTGAGTACATGTGATAAGAGGGAGCTTTGATTCCCTCTTTTTGCTTATTCTTACGGTAAAACAGGATTTGAAATCAATACACTAAAACTTGATAAAAATAGAGTGCTAAAATAGAAAGCTAAAAATGTAAAGAAACTAAAGAAACACAGAAGGTAAATTTATGTCAGTTTCTTTAAAGGAAATATGATCTGGGCAAATTTAGTGCCAAAAAAAAGTCTAAATTAAATTCCTAGGAGAGTAGTGAAGGGAACAGAAATAGAAGTGGAGAACAGAGGCCAAATGCCTGCCTTGCTGTGAGGACACCAAGGATGTTTTAACACTGATTCTATGGAGTTGAGGGATCGACCCCGGACAGAAGGCCAGCAGTTTGCCTCTTCCCAATAGCTACGTTGGAGGGTGCAAACAGTCTTTTGTCTCCTCAGCTGGAGTATCCCAGGAGATCAGACCATGAATGCCAAGGCCAAGGGAATGGTGAGAGCTCGGTGCAGACAGCAGGGCTGGGCACACATCGGGCTTGACTGGCCAGGATGCAGAAGTACTCCTAGTTCCTTCCAGTGGAAACCAAGAGTTAAAACAAAACCAGAAAAATAACTGAAAGGTCAAAGCGCAGAATAAGCCTTGCTTCATCTTTCTCCTGAGCTTCTAGAAATCTGTGGGTGTGAGACCCCTTTCCCTCTTGTCATCCATAAATTTATAAAGGAGCAGTGAGTGAATATGCTAACGGGCAAGGATGTCCTCCTCTCAGCATTCAAAGCTGCCTGCTGCCATGAACGTGTTGCCCACGGATTTTTAGGGGTTTGGTGAGATCCTCCTTTTTCAGAGAGGAATGCTATGGGATGAATCCTGTTTTTTGGAGACTACTTCAGCACTTCAGAAAAGCGGGATGGGGGGGGGGGGGGGGGTGGGGGACGGGACGACCTGTGCTGCTCTGCAGGCAAGGACAAGACACTGATTTGCTCTTACCCTTAGAAATGCATATGGTCACCTCTGTCCAGGTCTGAGAGTGCACACCTTTGCCAGAGAGGAATTATCTCAATTTATTCAAGAAGTCACTAGGCTGCTGCATTTTTTAAAGAGTAAGTTTTGACCTTGTTCAGAGAATAAGTTTCAGACATGTTCATATTCTAAGAAAAGTATCATTAATTTTTCATTACAGTGCTGGCCCTATTAAAGTTTATAGCTGAGTGTCACTTTATTGAAATTTCCAAAATTTGATGTTTTAAGTGGCTTTTTTATTAATAAATCTAGTTCTTTACTCATTCACAAGGTCTTAATTCATTCACCAGGTACTAAAATAAATGGTGATGTTTTCAGAAGAGATTACCTGTGTGTGAAAATCAGGATGTGAATGTTAAAAACTGTAACTGCAGGCTTTATTAAGAATGTAAGATTTTTGGAAAATAAAGACTGGTATATGACTATTGGAAATTAGATCTCTAAAATATAGTATTTCCATATCTGTAAACAATGGGATATATTTAACTATAGGTTAATCTTTAATGTCTGTATATCACTTATTTAAGTCAATGTTGCTGCTTTTTGTGATCACCTCTCCCATGCAGGTTTTCTGCCACTAAACTGTGTTTTTATCCTGGCTTTCATAAATAATTTTAGTTTTTGTTAAGTGCATTTAGTATTATATATATGGGGTACTCTGGAGCATACTTCCTTCCCCTATATAACTGCTGTTGTTTAAGCTAGTGAGATTTCACAACCCATGAAGCCATGGTTAAAACAAGGGAGCTCTTTGTTAATGGTTTCTTTTAACATTTTCTGGAGAATTTACTGGTAGGGTTTTGGAACTGCTCTTAAATGAGTCCTTGGCTCATCCAGAGGGTAGAAGTCTGTCTTTTTTTTTTTTTTTTTTAAATCCCTCTCCAGTTGTATTAATAGTGCAGGGACTTGGGAACACTCTGAGTCATGCAGAGGAAAGTTCAAGTGTATGAGGTCGTCCCTGC